CGTTTTGCCAGCAACTAAATGAGATTATGCGCTGCCCGAAAAGTGCACAGGGCCAAAGGACGAAGGACGTAGGACATGCAGGACATACACAAGTTGCCCGGGGCAAGTGAGGCATTAAAAAATGCAAAATTATATATCAAAGAGGCGAAAAGGTGGAAGGGAAGGAGTAGAAAAGAAGACCGCTGCATGTCACATGAAATTATTATATCCCGCCGTATATGGACATACATCCCTTTCGGGGACATTGAAAATATTCCGACGTGATCCGGCTGCCAAGTGGCCTCCTTCCAGGACAGCCAAGCGGCCAAGAAGGACATCACAGGACTGTCAGCCATGCAAAATAAAATAGCAACACGAAAAAATGCGAAATTTTGTTAGAAAATTGCAAAAAATTACATACATATTTGGTTTATGTGCAGCTGAAGCGAAGGAAGATAGGAAAAACTGAGGGATACTAGGGAGGGGGAAGGGGATTTTTCCTGTCACAAAGGACATCATGTGAACTGATGGTAATGCACTGGCCTGCCAATGCCGCGGCAACCTGGCGGATACTTGATTTTTCCGCTATGAAATATGAAGGAGATTCTTCTTCTTCGCTGGAGATGCTATGCTGGTTTGGCTTTAAGTGTTCGGTTTGGTTTGCCTGATTTGCTCTATTAGTTCAGCCTGAATGGTTTAACCAACTGTAATTAATGTTTGCCCTAATAAAAACATCTTAATAAATCAAATGGTTGAAGAGTAAGGAGATAAATATAGACTATTTATACACACAAAACAAAAAGGCGGTCAAATCGATAAGATTATGGTAAATTTCTGGTATTGCAAACCATCTCTCGGAGATTCTCTGACTTGGAAAAAGAGAGGAAGTAAAACCTCTCTCAATTCGAAATAGAACAAGCGATGAGTGGAAGGGAGAAAGACACATTTCGAGCATATCGAATTGAGATACCCGCTTATCAAGTTAACATTGATATTATCGTTTAATATCACATTTTTTTGGGGTGTACATTAGTTCAGCTTGAATGGTTTAACCAACTGCAATTTGTGTATGTCCTAATAAAAACATCTTAATAAATCAAAGGGTTGAAGAGTAAGGGGATATATATAGACCATATATACCATCCATACCATAATCTGCTCTACCCTCAAGTTCATAAATTCCCTTACCCCTTCTGTCTGCACTTTTCAAGTGTTTTTTTATTTTTTCTATTATTTATTTTCCACCGCCACTTGATGGCAATGACCAACCCTTCGAACACTTATCGCATTCAACATCATTTGCATGCGGAGTGTTTCGTTACTGCGCTGTCGGTTTTGGTGAAACAAATAAAATCAAGAAATAAATTAGAAAGAAGAAAATCCGGAGTACGGAATACGGAATACGGAACTGTTTGCCCAAAAAACCAGGGGAATCTATACATGGCCAACAAATATGGACTGGCCGTAGTTGATTTTTTGCAATCTGCACTTTTCTGGTCCTTTGTGGAAAATGTAGCCAGCACACAGGACGAGCGAGGACGCGAGGACTCCAAGCTGTCCTTTATCCTTCAGCCAGCAGAGGAGATCTCCTGCCACCAGTCGTCTGTCTGGGAAACTGGGAACTGGTAACTGGGATCTGGGATCTACAAACCTGCAAGCTGGACGACTGCAGCCTGTCTGGCCGTCTGGACACGTAGACATGGAACCCCTTCCTGAAAACCCCTACAAAAACCACTCCAAAATCATCCACATCGTCGTCACCTCGCGACGCATTCGTGGCACTCGCGTTTAATCAGCGATGTTTGGAGCAGGACTCCAGAACCCCAGGACTTCAGGACCTCAGACTCCCAACTTCCATCATCATTTATTGTTAGTGGCTGGCCAAAAATGCTGTTGTTGTTTAGATTTCTTTGTGCCCGGCTTCGCTTCGTTTCAATATTTGCATGTCCCACTCCGCCGAAGGGAATCGGGAATTATTTCCTGCTTGGACAGAGTCCAGTTTCCATCATATATCATGTTCAGGCGAAAGTACTCCTCCTCTATCCACCATTTTTTATGCATTTTCATTATTTTCAATTTCCATTTCGAGCAAAAAAGCAGTCGCCAATTTATTAAGCGATTTGCATTTAAGCTCTGCCCAACCTCTGCCATTTCTTCCCTTCTTAAAGGCGGAGTTTCAATTATCCTTTGGGCAAAGTCTCCCATTTCAAATGCTTTTCCAAGAGGCAACAAGTGGCAAGCTGTGAAATCTCGGACTCAGAAGTGCAGTTTGGTTTTGGTTATTACCCAGAACAACACAAGAAGGACGAAGGAAGGCAGGACGAAGGATGCCAGGATGGGTAGCACACAATTAACCGGGCAGACTGTAGAGATCCTTGCTTCCTTGAAAGCCCCTGGCTTTCATCCTTGCTCTCAGCAGAGTGAGATGGGAAGGAGGTGGCCATTTTTCAGACTGGACACTTGAATGAGCATTCAGAAGCATTCACAAGCATTCGGAAGCATTCAGTTCAGACACTCAAACACTGCTGTGTGTCAAGGTCGTCTGGTGTTTGGTGTTTGTGGGGTTTCCTGCTCCAAGACGATGCCAAATGATGAGGACGATAACGTCTCCATTTGTGCAGGATGAGAATGAGTAGCTCTGTTGTCCTGGCTCCTTTGTCTGTGAGTGTGTGTGAAACAGGGGGAGACAAATCAGGACCCTCAGACATTCTTGGGGAATACCTTTTGGCAGCTCAGACTTGTCTGCTGCTCCTCTGAAACATTTGTGTTTGTTTGTTTGCCTGCCCTTCCACTTGTGTGTGCTCCAGAAATTTGTGAAAATTGTTTTTCCTCAGACATCCTGCCCCTCAAAAAGGACCTTCTGCTGTGTTTAAGATTCTGTGGCTTGGGCATTTTGTAAATAATCTTGTTTCACAGGACTCCTGCCTGTCGACACAGGCGCCAGTGGTCAGAGGTCCTGCATAATTTATGTGGGAAAGCCTCTCCTCGTCCACAGAGTGTTGCTTAAGAATTTCACCAGGACACCTTGAGAGTGTGCCTGGATTTTCCAGAGTTTCACAGTTTCGAAGTTTCAGGGTGTTAGACTTTTCGGGGGCGGAACAAAGTCAATTATTGTTATAGGTTTTCGACCAACAAATTAAATGGTTTTGTGGTCGAACTCCGAGACAGTAGGCTGTTAGGGGCGTTTATTGTCGACACGAGGCGAAGAAAGTGAATCGAGTGACTGCACAAATTAATTCCGGGCAGTCAATTGCGGAGCCCCACTTAATTTGGCAAGTCAAGCGAATTGCATGTGTGACATCACAACTGTTGACTGCTTTCTAGTCAATATTCCTTTGATGGTTTTTTTCAAGCATTCAAGATAATTTGAAAAAGCGTTTTATGTTGGGCAGGATTTACTTTTTTAGTATTAGTTTTAAATAAATCATTTTAGAAACCATTATTTTTGGGTAAAATAAATCAAAAACAAAATAATTGTCAAATCTTTATAGTTTGATGCATGGGCATAAGAACACTTAATTATTTTTATCTTTGTAAATTAATTTGTAAAGGATTAAAAAAAATAAAATATTTTGTGACAGGAATCTTTACTTTAAAACTGCTAAAGAATCTAAGTCTCACGGAAATCTCTTCAAATTAAGTTTCATATATGACAGATCTTTAAACAAATTGTAATTAAAGTCAGAAAAGAAATACTAAATTATCGGGTTTTTAGAGGAAATTTAAGAAATTTCTTTAGGAATCTAGAAAGGATTTTTAACAATTTTAAGTTATCAACAAAAAAGTTTTCAACTTGTTTAACTCTTGAACCGCACATACAGTGGAACTAATTTCCCTTCAAATTTCCTAAATATTTTGATGGTTTTGTTTGACGGAGTTATTTGCGTTCAAAAACGCTTCTTATCCCTTTGCATTCGCTTCAAATCCTTCTATTTCGCTTCGCTATAAAACATGCTATAAATCAGAAGCTTTCCTCACAAATGTTTAGCCTTGACATAAATCACAAAGGCTTTTTATAGCAGGGTGGTGGAATAGGAAAACACAAGCAAAGTCTATCAGCACTTTAGGATAGTAACGAACGATTTGAATTATTTCTAAAACAAGTTTGAAACAAGAAAGAACATTTCCTCAGAAAAAATTAACCCTTTTAATTTATCTATAAAGAATGTCTTCTTATACTGGAATTTTTTTTGTATTTAACCATTCGAATTTTGCTACGAATAACATTTAATTTAAATGGACTATAAACTATTCAACAGGTGAAATGTCACTTATCCGCTTTCTAAAATTCTGCAAAAAATGGATTAAAGCAGTGGTTTATATACAAAAATTCCAAATGGAATAGTTTAAAATCAAGAGTACAGGAGAACCGAAAAATAATCTGCCGAAAAAGGCCGATTGTTTACTTAAAGTAAAGGTGAACTAGATGTGTTGCCTCGATAAGGCGTGTACTATCAGACCACGGACCCTGTTCATGCGATAGAACCGAGATCCCAGACCAGACCAGACCCCATTATAATGGGTAATCACCACGAGTGCCGCCTACTCATCCAATCCGGAGTCCAAGGTACACGGCGTACAGCAAACATTACGTAGTTTCCAAGCGATTCAGAGTTATTTTGACGCCGCCTATAGGAAAGTGATCCGTAAAATTGATCGATAAGCCGAATGTCAGGCCTTATCGCTGGTGTTTCAAAGAGAGAGATAGAGAGGAGAGTGCATATTCCATGCAGACACATTAAGAAACGAACGATCATATCTCGATTCGAGCATTAGCCTTATCCACATTTCGGGCTTATCAATATGCCAGGTCGCCCCGGGGCTTTCAGTTGGTTTTTAGCAACGGAACGGAGCAGTCGTCTGACGATCAGTGCAAATAAAAACAGTAAATAGATCCACGTGCCCCGAGGAGCATAGAAACTAGCGAGCATCAGCAGATCGGCAATAAAACACGCAGTGAACTGATAAGGCTGTGCCAGCAATAAATAAAATATATACAAATATAAAATAGACCAAAAGTATACGGGAATAGGTATAAAGAAAGACATCTATATAAAACCAAAACCAAGATGATGTCACATACTGTGAGGTGCGTTTGTTAAATCCGATATAATATAAAATAATAATAATTTTAAATATTTTTTATAGGGTCTTCAAGATGATGTACATTGTGGCGGGCATTCTCATCAGCAATGCGGAGATCTGCGATACAGTCGATCGCATACAAATAGCGCCACGCGTTGACCTCAAGCCGGAATTCGAGCAGAAGTATCTGACCTCGGGGGGCAATAGCCCGGGCAGTCGATCCCGCACCCATTCCAGGCAAAACTCAGGAAGTGGTTCGGGTTCGGAGGAGGGAGCCCCCAGCAAGAAAAGAAAACTCAGCGTTACTGGGTTGGCAGGGGGCGTGGTTCGGGGAGTCACCAGTCAGGTCTCCAAGAGAGTTGGTCACCGCTTCGTGTGGCTCTCCGACATCCGACTGATCCTCCAGCAATGGCGAGTCCTCGCCCTCAGCTTCAATCTCTGGACCATTCCCAACTTCTTCGTCCAGTGCCTCACCAGCTACATGAGCAAGAAGCTGCTCATCAACAGCGACTGTGATATGATCTACAAGTAGGATACAATATCCTATATATAGGATATTGGATATTGGATAGTAGGGCAGCTACACCAAGAGGTTGCAAATTTATTGTTACTTTAGTTTTTACATAGCTTTAAGATCTGAATAAACAACTGCTAGACATTTAGACATGGATACGTGTGCATATTCAAAAAGTGTAGTTCAGTATAATTCACATGGCTTTTTCGGGGAATTTCTAGACAATTATTTAGAAGTGACTCAATGATGATTAATATTATTTCTTAAAATTGGTTGGGTTTTTACAATATTTTTCTAGATCTATAAAATCTGATTATTAATATTCTTGTCATGACTCTAAAACAGATTAATTTGATTTTGTTTGTAACATTTTGTAAAGATTTTTTGTTTACATTTCGCGGTTTCAGTTACATTACATTATTTTTTTAGATTTGGATTTTTTACTAAGATTGCAACGCATTTAAAAATTCTAAATAATTTGCCAGGTGAATTATACTGCATTGTGGTCCCAAAAATCTGTTCCCTTTTAGTTCCTTTGCTATCCATTTCCAATCCTAGTCGCCCTCTGCCGTCGAATTATCTGAGTTATCCGGACTGCAAGGACTTCCGCCTCCTCCAGAAGCACCTCCCCTCACATTGAGGCTATTGTGGAGCATATTGGCGATGCTGTCCACATCCAGATTCTCATCCGTGGCGGAGATCTTTCGCAGGGCCGAGCAGACGATGCTGAGATCACCCCTGAGTTCACTGACCACCGCTGTGATTTTCTGGGCATTCGACAGGACCTCAACACTCATCGTATAGGGATTGTAACGCACTCCAAAAGGTCGTTGGATGCTCTCGGCAAAAGCTCTTAAAAATATATAATTTTTGGGATTTGTAGAAAATATTAAAATTCATATTTACCTCATTTGCTCCTTGGCCTCCTCAAAAGAATCTGTGTAATAGTAGGCATTCTGATAGGAGGTGATGATGCACTCCTCCTGGCAAGTCACCTCCGGATCGAACTTCTTTATCTTATTATCGGCCGAAATCGCATGCTGCAGCTCAGCCACGGAACTCAGGAGTCCCGCTCCATAAACCTTTGAAAGTGCTGTCCGCCTGTTTGCACAATCCGAACTCAACGGTAAAGAAATAGAGCTAAAAAGAAAAAAATAATTATATTTAAATCATAAAAATGGAATTGGGTTGGAATACCCACCGTTGCCAACTTCTCGATATCCGCATCACTTGCTCCCAAAGAAGCCAAGCCAATCTCCTGCGAAAATTGGGCAAAACTCGAGTTGGCCAAAAGGGGCATGTGACCTAGTAGTTCGTGGCAACAGTCCCTGTAAACAAAATATAAAAAAATCTTTTAAGCTAAGACATAAAAAACATTTTTTAAAATTTTTTTTTAATTCAAGACATAAAAAACATTTTTTTTAACATTTTTATTTAATTTAAGAAATCTAAGCAAAATTAATTTCAAAATTTGTAATGCCACTAATGTTCCAAAAATATAAATATTAAATTCCTAATCAAACTTGTATGTTTATATTTGTCCTTATTTTAGTCATCCAGCTAAAAGTATACCACTTACTTGCATTCATCACAAATCAAATGTAATGAAAAGTATGCTAGACATTTTTTTAACTGAACTCAACTCAATTAAATTTCGAAAATTGAAATTTAAATTGAACTTTTAATTTTAAATATTTGTAATATATTTTTTTATACAATTATTTCACAATGAATAGTTGCGTTATTAAAGTCATAAATCTTTTATATCATTCAAAACAAACTATAAACATTAACAGCGAATCGAAATAAATTCTACACTATTTTTATTAATAATTAATATTTATAAATTACTTACGGTTCGGGAGTGTAGAAGGGATCCGAGGAGTGTCGGATGTACTGGGTGCAGTGGAACACCCGAAAAGCCAGTCCAGATAGGAAATCCCTCGGTGAGAGATACCCCGCCACAGGTCTCAATTGGAATCCCGTCTTGCGCTTGAGATAAACACTCACATCCTGCAGCTGGGGAACGTTATCCTCGCGGTAGCCACAGTACTTCTCCAACTCCGGCCAGGTTTCCATGTACTCGGGCACAGCGTGCAACACGTAGAGTCGATGGAGCTCCAAGAAAACGGTGCCCCTTTTGGCAGGGAAAGTTGAGAAAACCACCCAAATGAATCGATACTTCAGCAATCAAATTGAAATGCAATCAAGAACTTACCAAGTTTTCACCTCCTCAGGTGTGTACTGCACACGTGGAATGGGATTGCCACTGAATGGATGGTATAAATCGAATGGAGTGGGAATTAGAGGGTGTCTATAGGGAGTAAAACCATTATCACACACTTACTGCTTGAAATTGTTAGCTATGGCAGAGAACTGCTCTCGTCGTTTACGATAAACGGGGTCCTTGAATCCCGGATGGTCGGCATCCAACTCCGAACCGTACATAAGGACATTCTGAGCCTTGTCCAGGTCGGAGATCTTTCGCGGAAACCACACCATGTCCCCGAAATCTGATCGCAATAAATGGATAATCATAATAATAACAGCTATGGATTTTCCTTGTAATTGTATGCCAATTTAAAGAAAAGTTATACGTTTGATAAAGCGTAGTACCTACTCATTTTCATAAGTTTATTAATAAAACATAGAAATTCTTCACCCCTTGTGAAGTATATATACTATATTTTAAATTTTATTGTAGCTAATAATATGATATCTCTGGTAAAAGTGAATTATCTTAAACCAAAAAAAGTGTCAAAATAATAACCATAAAACTAAACATAAAAGATAAGAACAATTAAAAACTCTCAGTTTTGGATGAAACGACTATAAATTACCTGCTTAAGTCATTTTTTTACTAAGAGGTCTTTAGAAACGGATTTTTTTAGGCTTAAAGAGGTCGGAAACTCTCGAGTATACCCTGGATTTCTAAGAATTTTTAGATTAAAAAAAGCTGGAGGGTTCCTTGAATGTCAGACCAAAAAAGTAGTTAAAAGACACCTTTCGTTGTGGGTGGTTGTGCATTAAAATGTTCGAGGCAGGAAAATATTTGTTCCACGCACTTATATTATGGAACATGTGTACTCTAGTGGAGGTAACTAATCATCATAGCAGCGATTTTTGCCATGTTGTATTGGAAAAATTGGAAAGGATGGAAAGTCAAATGCTGGAAGCGCAAATTAAGATGAACAATCATTTATTATTAATCCAAAGAGCACTGACAACTGAGAAAACTTCACTGGAGATAAAAGAAGATGTTTTGGAGGAAACTGTTCCGGAGAAAACCATTCCTCCGAATTTCGAGCGTTTTGGTTCGAGATACTTCTACGTGGAAAATGACTTTAAACAAAATTGGACTACTTCAGCAAACACTTGTCTTCAAATGGGCGGTAATCTGGCCATTTTCCAACACGAACGTGAATTCGAGGCCATCCAGGCGAAACTCATGAAAAATCACTATTGGCTGGGCATTAACAACCGTGCAAAATCGGATGAGTTTGTATCAGCATCCTCTGGAAAACCAGTCTTCTTTTTGAAGTGGGGACACGGACAACCCACTTACAACTATGATAAATCAGAAAGCTATGTTTTCATGTATGACGGCCAAATGGGTCTTTGGAGGGATGATCACGAATTTTACTTTGTTTGCCAAGCAGATAATCTTTAGTTCAAAATAAAAATATAAAACCTTTAAAATGGTTTTAAATTTTTTATACAAAATTAAAATAAATGGAAATATATTTTTCGATTTGTTAAAAGAATTTTTTTTAGATATAAGTAAAATTTTAAAATGAAATACCAACGGGAAATATATTCCTAGTTCTGAGAAGGGAAAAGATATAACATCTATAAATCTCTAAATATTTATTTGGTGGAACTCTAAGAACTCTATATTTAAATTCCAGATATTAGAACTCAAAATTCCAAGAATTATGTATCTAGGGTTTTCCCTCGTTAAATAAAATATACTTTACGAGGATTTTCCTAACAGCAAATAAAAAATTTCACATTTCTGCAAATTATCTAAAGCACGAAATCACTTTCAAATGTCAAAATAGGTGCATAAAAGTATGCAACAATATATGTTTAATCAAAAGTTGATATGATTTCATACAAGAAAACTGATATTCTTTATCCACTGCATACTTTTAGACACATTCTTTGAGATTTAAAAGGGATATCCACCCCACTATATCTTAAATCTCCTCCATAACTCACCAAAACTGGAGCATGCCGATAGGGATGGAGCCCTGGCCAAACCGTGGGTATTCACGGAAGTGTAGTTCACGGAAGCCACCTCCCTATTTAACATCTTGACCACCTGGTCGAGTCGCCTGGGATCGCACTCGACATCCACCAGGACATCCGCCTGGTTGGTGGCCATCTCGAGAGGCGATAGCTCCAAGTGCAGCACATTGATGCCCAGTTCCTGGAAAACCTGAAGGGCCCGGGCCAGATTTCCCACCTGGTTGCGCAGGGTGAAGATGATGGAGATGCGTTCCCCTGGAGAATGCTGCCTGGGATTATTATCCTGGCTGCTGACTCCGCCTATGGTCAACCTCGGAGGCTCTTGCGGAGCTGAGGAGTGCCGCGAGAGATTCGGATGGGAAGTTGGACCAGATGTAGTGGAATCCTTCTTCAGCTGATGCAACGGGCTGCCCTGCTTGACGGCCCACTCCTGTTCGCCACTCCTGTAGAGCCACAGGCCCAGAAGACTCTTCCCCGAAGCACTCATCACTGCACTAGGTAATCCTTCTTGGGTTCTATTCTTATTCGCGGGCACACGCGTCGTATGCGCAACTCAGCGCCAACTGCAAGATCCTTCGGATGCGTGCGTCCTTTTATAGGCAGCCAGCAGGATTCGCAAACTCGCACACTCGCAGAGGAAAATATACTGGAGATACATATTCAATTGTATTTATTAAGTGTGCGTGGCGAGATAAATTCGTTCAAGGATATAAAAGCTACAAGTGAGTCTTTCCCATCCATTCTATTCAACGAGGACCCTCCTCCTTTCGGGGGGTGGCATGTCCTGATTGGCCAAATCATGCTGGAGTCAGGCCAAAACGCTAACGCATGACGTCATCGTATGCTGACTTTCAGAGTCCTTAATATTTTTAAAATTATGTGTATTTTATAAAGATGCAATTTACTAAATAAAAAATAATGTGTTTGGGATTTTGTCTTTTAAAAATAAAGTTTGCAAAAATAAAATAAAACTAGCTCAGGAAAATATTACAAGTAAATATAATAACATTCAGGAATTTTTTAAAATTTTATATTATTGGATATAAAAACTCTTTTAAAATACATAATAATTCATATTAAAGAATCTTTTATTTTGCATATCTTTAATTTTATTTTTCATTTTTCTTCAAAAAATTTTAAAAACTCAGCTTGCAAAGGTAAAAATTCCATTGTATTTTGTACTGAACTGGAGTAAAAATATATTGTAGCATACTTTTCAACGGTAAAGTAATAATAATAATAATAAAATTAATAATATAAGCAACCAAAAGCAGGGCATACATAATTCACCATATCATCCCCATTTCACTTTCTAATCAGCAGCAACAACTTTCAATTGAATGAGGAAAAAGTCACGGGTTTGGGTCTCGGTGGACAGACAGACTTCTGTGCTTGACTTTCAAATTCAGGCGTTTAATTTATGCTGGTACGGCAGTAACTAGTGTGCCGTAAGCAAAAACCCAGTGAAACCCTTGCAGAAATACGAAAAACTCCGCTCAGATAAAATCAATATGAAGTTAGTTAAGAAAAGCACTGAGTCTGCGACATTGAGAGTGGTCAAATAAATGGGTTGCAAGATAGTTCAGTTAGACAACCCATAAAGGAAAAGCGCTTTCCCCCGCAACCACTTGATGCTTCCACAGAGTCAATAGTAGATAAATGGCAATTTCTTTCCTCCCCGCTTTTCTTTTTCTCGGGCCTTTGTTTGCGCTTCGAGAAAAGCAAATAGCGCCAGGGGAGGCGGAAGGCGAGGGAAAACCAGTGGGTGGATAAGAAAACCAGAGTCACTTCCACTTGACTATTAAAATATGCGGAAAACTGAAGTGAAAACACATGCGTGGGTATCGTACGATGTATCTCCCTACCCAACTCATCACCCAAGCGATAAACTTAATGGTGCTGGCTAACTGATTGACCGACAAACGACTGGCTCCCAGGAGCCATCCACTTTCTGTGTATTTGCCCACCAGCTGAAGGATTTATGGTGGTTCCTTAGGGAAGGAGGACGTTTTGTACTCCGTTTAGAAGTCTTCCACACGGAGATGGAGTTTGGAGTACGGCGACGAGGTCACGATGAATGGCAGCTCTTGATTTCGGAATAATTAACTTAGACAGCGCATTTGGAATGGGGTTGGTTGGAAGGGATGAGCTGGGACTCGGATTTAATTCGGGAAGTGGAAAGGGTAATTTTATCAACATTTAATAAACACACAATTTACAATGTCGCATACATTTAAACATATATTTATGATTTTAAAATGTATGATAGAGTAAAGCAGGTTCTAGGTGCAAACATTATCTTGCAATATTTTAATACCGAAGAAAGTTAGATTTTTGTTGTTTTTTATTGGTGCAGTCACTCACTCCAGATAATGTGTCTAAAAAAATATTAACAAAAGTAAAGAAACTCGCCAGCGAACCATTTATAATTGACTTTATCGTTTCTTATCTTGGTTTCAGCAGGCCAATCGGTCTCTTATCTCAGTTAAATGAAGTAATTTCTACAGAACAAATACACCATCTATACAATTTATTTGTAATATTAATAAGATTTACAAAGTGCGTATTATTATAAAGACAAATATTCATTTAAAAATGAGTACTACTGTAAAAGATAAAGGGTATGTCAATACTTTCAGCATTTAATAAATTCTTCCCCTACGAATTTACTTCTCTATTTGAAGCAATCATCGATGGAAGGCAGGTCTCCACTGCAGAAGTGCCAGACTGACCAGGCTGACCAGCCCTGTTGACCCAGGACAGTTTGGGCACACTTCACCGACCTGCTGATGTCGTCGGTCAAGAGGTCATTGCAACCGAGACCACAGCCATTGTGGGAGAACTTGCCACTGGGCGGTTGGCACCAGTAGAGGTCGTTGATCTGGAAGATCCCATAGTCGTTGGATCCATCGGAGTTGGGCGGACCCACCACCTCGGTTCGGTAGGAGCTCTCGTGCTCCGCAATGCAGGTCCAGCGAGCCAATTGGTCACGGGGAACCCCGAGATTGGACATTTCCCGGGCCAAGGAACACCGATCCATGGTGCGTGCTAAGATAGCAGGAGAAGCCAGAGCCAGTACACAAATCACTAGAAGGGATCTCATCTTGATTCGAATGGTTTGGATATCAGTAAAAAACGAATTGACTTTGCCAGTTGTCTCGCTGTTTTTATACCCCATGGAATCAAGAAATTCTGCGTAATGAAATCTACATTAAACAAAGCCCCGCGATAAGAATATGTGGTCAACGCTTATTGTAAGGAGATTTCTTAGTAAACCCCCTTTAAAAAATACTTATCACCTCATTGCAAATATTTCTTACACTCATTCACAGGGTAAAACGGTATCTATAATAAAATATAAGCATGGGAAAAAACAACTTCAACGTACATCACAATTTTATTGCCTTCGTCCCCTCAGTTCAGTCGATAAATTTACAAACTTTGAAACAGCTTTGTGATGAACACAAATTAAACTTTAAATTTTAAACACTTTTTGTAGAGCCTAATTTTAGGAATACCGAAAAAGTTCTCCAGAATGTTTTTGTTTCAGAATATGCTATTTATTTACCGGATTATAAAGTGTAACAAAAAGATTGTGTTGACAAGGAATACAAAAATGCGCATTATTAATTAGTCTTGTGTAAATACTCTTCCCGCTTAATAAAATCTTCTCCGTCAATTGGACATCCTATTAACACAATTCCCACACAAAATTGAGATTATTTAGAATTTGCAAAAGCTGTCCCCTCCAAATTGATTGGAGAAATGACGATCGGTCAGCGATTTTCCTGAGGTGAAGCAGTCGTCGATGGAAGGCAGTTGTCCACTGCAGCGGGGCCACACGGACCAGGCAGACCAGCCCTGTTCCCGCTGGACCATTCGGGCACATTTCACCGACCTGCTGATGTCGTCGGTCAGGAGGTCGTCGCACCTGATGTTGCAGGCATTGTGGGAGAACTTGCCACTGGACGGCTGGCACCAGTAGAGGTCGTTGATCTGGAAGATCCCATAGTCGTTGGATCCATCGGAGTTGGGCGGTCCCACCACCCCAGTTCTGTAGGAACTTTCATGCTGGGCAATGCAGGCCCAGCGAGCCAATTGATTACGGGGAACTCCCAGATTATCCATCTCCCGAGCCAAGGAGCAGCGGTCCATAGTGCGGGCCAGGATAGCAGGAGTAGCCAGAGCCAGGATACAAATCACCAGAAGAGCTCTCATCGTGATGCGAATGGTTTGAAGGTCAGTAAAATAATATTTTACTATGCCAGCTGTCTTGCTGTATTTATACCCCTGAAGTTCAAAATAATGTGCACTTTAGAATAATGTGATAAGAAGAGTTCACGTATTTAGTTCAGATGTCCAATGATTAATATTGATTCAGTGCCTCCGCGTATTTGCACTCTTTGTGGTGTTTTAAGTTATCTGCTTTAAAATTAACTTTAAACAAAACAACAAATCGGGCTGGTCTTGGGCAATTTAGTTCTTTGGATGTTTAATCTTTTAAACTGATTTATTAAATGGATAGTTATATTTTTAATATTCGAGTTACTTATTTACAGACCTCCGGTTAGGTTTTTTTAATTATTAGCTCACAAAAATGTATAACGATGCGCTTGCAATGAGATTTCCACACCGACTGAATTTTCTTTCAATTTTAGCTAGCGTTTTATTTGCTTCTCGATCGTTTCTAGAAACGACGACCACTACGTGCTTATCTTTACCGGGCGTGTCCCGGAATACATATTCCATATATCACTATGGACGGCAGTCCATGTAGTGACGAAGCGCACCAGGAGAGTGTGCGAAGGCGACTACTATATATACACGAAGAAATGAAAATCTACTGTGATGGTCCGATCATAATGAATGATACACCTATCGAAAGGTATTGCGAAAACTAACAGGATTGCATACCAAGACTTTAAGAAAATCAATTGGCTTGGGAGAGAGAGCGGTGAAAGTGAAAAATTGAAAATTTCGAAATTTGGAGCTGTTGGGGCCGGTGGGGATAAATGCCCCCTCGCAATGTTTTAGTTGTATTCCTCTTGAAAATACCCGTCGAATGAGGGATCATTTGTCAAAATCCGACTCTCCGTTCAAAAGTTATAGCCAAAATAAGATTTTCTTCTTCTTCCCAAAATGAAAATTAATTTCTGTTTGTCAGTTTGTCCACTTGTCCACTTGTCCAAAACATGTTTTTTAAGTTTTGAAAATTTTATATGACGTTCATCACATCGATATAAAAAACTTTTGTTCTACCACTTTTGGAAAAACTCGCTAGTTTAGCGGGAAAACAGCTATAAATAGCTAAAAATCGGAAAGCCGTAACTTCTATACTACTAAAGCTACAGACTTGTGCTGCATCTCGTTTGAAAGGTATTTTTAAATGCTATAAACGCCTTCTATATGCAATTTGTGTAAATGTAATAATTAAAAAAATATGAACAAAAGACAATTTTTTAAAACTTTTTTTTTAGCTTTTTTTTATTTTTCTCAAAAACGGCTCTAACGATTTTTTTTAAAACCTTAAACTGTATAGCCCTTGAGATTCCTTAAATTTTGGTATATAACACATTACTGTAAAAAGTCACGTTTAAAAGTTATTTTTATACGAAAATAGCCACTTTTGCCAGCTCGAACAATTAACGCTCCCTGAGTATTGAATTTTGTGGGAGGGTATCCGAACTGTATTTTAGGGTCATGGAATCAGTAAATTTGCACTTAAGAGTTCCATATAGGAATCTTTTGTTCTACGACTTTTGGAAAAAGCCGCTACTTTAGCGGGAAAATAGCTAAAAATGGCTAAATTTCGTTAGTTTTTAAGTTCTACACTACTAAAGGTACAGACATGTGCTATACCTCGTTTAAAAGGTATTTTGAAATACTTCAACGCCTTTTTAACTTAATTCGTTAAAATACAATAGTTTAAGAATTATGATTTATGACCAATTTAAATTTAAATGTTTATATTAGCACCTATGAGAGCAAAAGTAAACAAACAAAAACTTCTGATATCAAATAAAAACACCTCTTAACGAGGTAAAAAACTAGTGACGATCGCACCTTCAACGTACAAAAGTTCTGATATCAACTTTTGTGACGAAAAATAATTTTAGATGCGACTAAATAAGTACGATACCTAAAATTTATTCATTCGGCACGCTAAAACAGAAAAACATTCGTGTAGATATTAAATATTTGCTAAAGCGGGCCGAACGAGTAAATTTTAGGTAGCGTACTTATTTAGTCGCATCTAAAATTATTTTTCGTCACAAAAGTTGATATCAGAACTTTTGTACGTTGAAGGTGCGATCGTCACTAGTTTTTTACCTCGTTAAGAGGTGTTTTTATTTGATATATATATAGTTAAAACCATGACGAATACAGTAAATTTAGCTTTCAGATAGTATTTGTGTTTTATTTTGATTGAACGAATGTGAAGTGCATACAAATGTGCAATTTAAGTTCAACATTATGACGAATCCGACAGAAAGTTTCAATTAGAAACAGCTATCGATCGATGGCGAGTTGCCACTGCATAAGTTCCAGGAGGACCAGGCCGACCATCCCTGCTGGGCCAGGACCTTTTGGGCACATCTCACCGACTGGGTGATGTCGTCCTTGTGGAGGTCGTTGCAACTGGTGCCGCAGCTGTTGTGAGAGAACTTTCCATTTGATGTCTCGGAGTATTTATACCCTTGGATATGACAACATGTTGCAATGCTTGATTAGATTCCTGTTCATTAAATATTAACATAGGAAATAGTAATAACAATAGTCTTAGGAAATGTTCTTAGAATAGCGCTATCTTGGCTTATTTGTCTATGTGCTATTTTTAAAACCAAAGCTCTTAGTTCACCATAGCTCATCATCATGGTCAACTGTGTAACGGGGAGATCTAACATATAATAAGTATTTCCAGACTGTCCATATAGCAAGCAGACCAAAACTTCTTAAGAAACCGATTTTTCTGTAAGGGTTTCTTCTTACCTTTCTTTTGTTTTTTATTTAAGTAGTTTCCATAGGACAAAATAAATAAAATAATACAAAAATTTAAAATTTCTTGTTGAAACCGGATGTTTTATTCTGTGGAAAAACGGAATGGGCATGTGGTCTTCGTTTGAAATAATCTTTTATTTATGACTCGACTGCGCAAAATACAAAAAATTTCTTGCTGAAACCGGATTGTTTGTCTTGCGCAGAAAGTATAAAAATGCGCTACAGTATAAGAAATGTTATTATACTTCAGAAAGAATTCGTTCAATAATGTGGTTCAAGAAAGAGCTCTTCTTTTTCGTAGTTCTTTGCTTCTACGCAGCAATGGGCAATGTCATTGAAAGACGACAAATTGGAGGAGGATTTCAACATCCTTTAAGTTTGCCTACATCTGGAGTCGCAGCAATGGACCACGTCATTGAAAAACGACAAATTGGAGTAGGATTTAACCATCCTTTAAGTTCGCCTACATATGGTGATAGGCAACAAGCCTTTTATAGAACCCCGGAAGGACAGAAAACAAAACAGATATTAGTGGCCGCAGCATGCGGAGCGGCAGGATCATTTGGTGGTCCTGCAGGAGCTGCCGGGGCAGGAGCAATTTGTTCACAAATCCTTACATAATACCCTTCCTTACAGAAGCATGTGCAATGAACGCGTGTTGCACGATGAAATACAAATTCAGTTTGAGCAAGAACATGTTTTTGTAATTTTTTATTAAGTTCTGATGAAATCTTTCCTCGGTTTATAGGCTAAAAATTTGGCATTTTTAATATTTAACAAGAAAGGAAGCTACCTTCGGCCAGCCGAAGCTTATATACCCTTGCAGATAAAGTAATGCTCACTCGGTGCAGTTCCAGGTATTCCAGATTCAGCGTTTCTATTTAAATTTTGTTTTTAAGTAGTCAAGAATCAAAACGCCTACTTCCTACAAAGTTACAATGAATTTTCTTATATTTGTTTGAATATTCCTATGGAAGCCTCAAGATATAGTGGTCCGATCCGGCTCGCTCCGACATATGTACTACCTGCAATAGAAAGAAGACTTTCGGGAAAGTTTCATCGCAATAGCTTTAAAACTGAGAGACTAGTTCGCATAGAAACGGACAGACGGACAGACGGACAGACAGACAGACGGACATGGCTAGATAGACTCGGCTATTGGTGCTGATCAAGAATATATATAATTATGTGGTCGGAAACGTCTCCTTCACTGCGTTGCAAACATCTGACTGAAATTATAATACCCTCTACAAGGGTATAAAAACATAAGCAAAGATAAATTGATAAATTGATTTAAATTTTTAAAACCAAAGCTCATAGCTCATTATCATGGTTAACTGTGTAACAGGGAGATCTAACATATAATAAGTATTTGCAGACTTTCCATTTAGCAAGCAGACCAAAACTTCTTAAAAAACCGATTTTTCTGTCTTAACTTTCCCAAAAAATGCCGTATAATAAAAAGAGCAGTTGATAGCTAATGACCCAAAATGTCGATCCCCATTACTTGCCAAATGATTTAGATTTTACTAAAAATTCCCGATTTTCTTCACAGATATAAAAAAATGGTAATAAATTAAACTTTTTAGATTTCAATGCAAATTGATTAGAAATTAAATAACGAGCTCAACGCGATATTACTTTCCATATTTTGACTACTATATCATTTTTTCGACCGAAAAACAGTTAATATGCTTAAGGGTTTCTTAGTATATTGTTCTGTACATTACGGATCTAATTTAAATTTTATTTAATTAGTATTTTTACCAACTATAATGCTTGGTATTTCCATAACCACCCTTTCGTTGCCGAAACCGCTCCTGACTTTTCGTGCCCCAAGCGCAACAGCATTGCAATTCGTAAGTCACCCCCGCAACTCAGGAAACTTGGAGCGGATGTGAGTCACTGCGCAGGCGCGCTACTTGTCAACCCCCAGGAGAGCAACTTACAAGACGGATGCCGCTGACCCCCCAACCTTTGCCCTGCCAGCGGTAAACAAAAACAAGTTTGGCTCTCTCTATAGCCAGAAAAAGAGAGAGCGAGAGAGAGCTTACGCCTGACAGCTGAAAGTCCCAAATTTCCCCGACTTGGGCATCCACTATTTCGCATTGTATGGCACCACTCACATCTGGAATTCAGACGGGGACACTCGAGTTCGCCAGCGACGTCAAGGAAATTATCGATTTTCGCAAGTAAAGTGAAAAAACTGACTCCGCTGGCCGAAAAGTCTTTAAAGTTCCATAATACTCGGGTGAAATCTTAAGGAATATCGTGTAAAATCGAACTCATTGAGAGCCCCAGCTAGCCTGTAGTTGTGGGCGTGGCAGCTGGTTGGGAGCCCTGGTCACAAAACGACATGGCCGACAGCGAATTCGAGGAGTTCCACAGGCCCATCTTTGAGCCACATACGATTGCGGGATTTGGAAGTGGAGCAGGCAGCAAGAAAAATAATCCCCATGCATTTTACTCGTAAGTTTAAAAAATAGATTAATTAAAAGAAGTAAGAAAAGTAAAGGGTGGCTTAGATGAAGCACGTGTCCTGAAGAGCACCCCCCAAAAAAAAGTGTAGTCGGTATCCTTGAAGAAATATATATGTATTCAAGTTTGAGAACGAAAACAAAAATCACTAGGGCTTTCAAATCACTTAAGAAGGTATCTAAAAGTATGCTAAAATATATTTTGAATGCCAGAGATGGATTCCAAAAAATACTGCATACTTTTAGACACTCGTACAATTCGATTTACTATTTGATTAAAAAAAAATCTATTCCCCAGTTTAATTCCCAACGATGACCTGGAGGACTCGCACTCCTCGAAGAGCGATGGCGATGGCTCCGATCAGGAGGACGGCATTGGTCTGGTGGACCACGAGCCCAAGTTGCGCCAAGTGGAGGACGATGAGCTGGGCGATGGCCTGAAGGTCACTCTGTCCTCGGATGGATCCCTGGACACCAACGACTCGTTCAACTCGCACCGACATCATCCGTTGAATCATCAGGATGCAATTGGTGGCTTTCTGGGCATGGACACCAGTGGACTGGGCGGCAATAGTGCTCCTGTGACCATTGGAGCTAGTACAGATCTTTTGGCCCCGAATTCGGCTGCCACGCGTCGTCGTCGCAAGTTGCCCGAAATCCCGAAAAACAAGAAATGTAAGTGGGATGGAAATAACTTAGTTCCTTGTTAGAATGTCCTGCATGCCAGTAGTGTTAGGGGGCTAGTCCGGCTAGAAATATATAGAGGCTTTGGTAAATGAGAAAATATTCATTTGATTTTGGAAATCTCTTAAAAGATGCTTAAAAGTATGCTACAGTATATTTAATAACTCAAATTCCGAAGAAAATTGCATACTTTTGCCCACTTTTTACATAGAATGTTGAAGAATCTTATTTAAATCAAAATATATCTATAAATTATAGCTCAAATATATGAGAAAATATTCTTGTAGGGCAAAACTTCATAAAATCTCTTAGAAAGGTGTTTACAGGTATGCAACAGTATAAAAGAACAATTTAAAATGGAAGATGTTTTAAATTCCTTTGCATACCTTAGGGTCTAAAATATGACAAAATGTTCATAAAATATTTGATATCTTTTAAAAAGGGAGCTTAAAAGTATGCAACAATATTTTGAATGCTTTAAATGTCGAAGAAAACTGGAAGTTCATAGCATACTTCTAAGCACTTTTTATTTGAATCCTGATTTTATTGAAAATATTGTTTTAAACCGGACAGTCCTAGTTTAATCTCCCTTCGTAGTTTCGGGCTAACCCACTCATGGCCTCGTTGCAGCTTCCATTCTGCATCTTCTAGGTGGCACCAACTTTGGCTCCCTGGCCGATGAGTTCCGCAATAATGGAGGTGGCAACGGAGGAGGAGCTGCTCCTCCTTTAGCAGCTCGCAGTGGACAACAGCGCTCATTCCTGTCCCTCAAATGCGGCTATCTAATGGACGAGGACTCCAGTCCGGATTCGGAGAGGATGCAGAGTCTGGGCGACGTGGACAGTGGTCACAGCACCGCCCACTCGCCGAATGACTTCAAGAGCATGTCTCCCCAGATCACGTCTCCCGTTTCGCAATCGCCCTTCCCCCCGCCCTTTGGGGGCGTGCCCTTCGGCCAGCTGGAGATGCTGGAGGCCACCCACCGGGGGCTGCACAAGTTTGTGCCGCGGCACCATGACGAGATCGAGCTGGAGATCGGCGACGCCATCTACGTGCAAAAGGAGGCCGAGGATCTGTGGTGCGAGGGCGTGAATCTGCGCACCGGAAGGCAGGGCATCTTCCCCTCGGCCTATGCCGTCGATCTGGACTACAACGAGTTCGATCCCACGGTGCAGCTGGTGAAGAAGGAGCGCTACCTGCTCGGCTACCTGGGCTCCGTGGAGACGCTGGCGCACAAGGGCACCGGGGTCGTCTGCCAGGCGGTGCGCAAGATTGTCGGCGAGTACGGGAACTCACCCACCGGACAGACCTGCATCCTGGAGGTCTCCGACCAGGGACTGCGCATGGTGGACCGATCGGGACCGAATGTGAGTAGAAGATCTTGGGTACAGGAGAGGCACTTACTTAAATGTTCCAAAAAGGTATAAAAACCTGAAGAACTACTCTAATTCAAAAGGTTTCCATGACTTTTTTAAATAAAAATTACAGGAATTTATATTGTCATATAGCATTAATTAAATGCTTGCGAATTGAAAAAACAAGGAAAACAAGGAATTTATATTGTCATATAGCATTAATTAAATGCTTGCGAATTGAAATAACAAGGACATTTTCCATTTACTAGCAAAAAAAATATAAAGACTTTTAAATTTACTTTTTAAGGTGTCTAAAAGTATGAATCGGTTTATTTTTAATCAATAAGTTCGATGGGAAAGACAGGTTTAAAAAAATTACTGCATAATTTTAGACACTTTTATAAATGATTTAAAAAAACCCTTTTGATTATTATATCAAACAATGCCTGATTCAACTCAAAGCACCATTTTAAATTTCGTATAATATTATTTTTTATTTTATTAATACTTCTTAAACTAATTTTGGAAATTTATTTAGATTTATGTCAACAGACAAATTCTATGAAACTATTTAAGAACCAAGACTCTAAAGTTAACAAAACTGATTAATAAAACCCCACTTTTCATTTCTCTCCCTCAAACAGCAAAACAAAAAGGACAAGAAGCCGTGCATCGACTACTTCTACTCCCTGAAGAACGTGTCCTTCTGTGCATTTCACCCTCGCGATCACCGCTTCATTGGCTTCATCACCAAACATCCCACGGTTCAGCGGTTCGCCTGTCACGTCTTCAAGGGCTCCGAGTCCACCAGGCCAGTGGCCGAGGCAGTGGGGTAAGTCCCAGTACAGTAAAGCCTCCTTAAAACATACCTCACATATACCACCCTTCTTTCAGTCGTGCTTTCCAGCGATTCTATCAGAAATTCATTGAGACCGCTTATCCCATCGAGGACATCTACATTGAGTAGGCTTGCGAAAGATTTGCGGTTTGTGCTTCTAGTCGAGGAATTCTCATTAATCAATACGATATATATATTTTTTGTGCGGTTATTACGAATAAAAAAAAGATAAATCTCAAGAAATATTTGCTCTTCTTCAAAGAGAATCTTATAAAACAAATTCAATAAGCTCGCAATAGAAACCCTAGCTGTAGATTATTATCATTTTACCGTTCCTAAAAATTGTGCAAGATCTTAGACCTGTAAATAGTTAGCCTTGGTTCCAAACTCCCACTTGACACTCAAGCTTCAAGCAATCAGCAATAGTTGCCCCTTAAATAGGAACCCCTTTATACACACGAGTACACATAGCATATAGACCAAAGCACAACCAATAAGTTGAAATCCCTAGAAAGTACTTTGAAGATCCCAGAATTTTGAATCGGAAGTTGGGTCTATTGTGTTTATCAGAAGTGATTAATTTAGATTGGTTTATGGAACTCGAGACCCCAAAACCTGGCAAAAGCACAAAATAGATTGAGGCCAAAGTAATCTAGAGATCTTCGTTTAGTTATGTCAATCTTTCAGTTACTCAGAGACTCAACAATATCGAACACCAGCTGCTACATTTTCAAGTACTCTCAATAAAAGCCCAGTTCTAAGCAGACGAATATATACTGTACATGTATACAAAAGAAATATATATATAAAGAAACTATAAATCAAAGTGGATTGTATTATTTTTATTATCCAAAAAAGGTGAGTAATTAATAGATTAAAAATATTTAATTTTTACTAAGAAGTATGCTACGATATTTTAGATTTTGGTAGTTTATTTGGTACTTATATAGATAGTTACTAGCATCCCAAAATTATACTATTAAATATTTTAAAATTCTTATACAGCCAAAGAGTTAGTTACTAACTTAGCTTTAAGTTTAAAAAATATGCCGGTTTACATTAAATTACATCGCACATAAAGAATGATCACTTATAAATATTATCTGTATGAAGACAAAAGCTATTTAGAGTACTGTTGTAAGATAAATTTATTCCAGCTAGTCTGAAATATTTATTTTGAGTGTGCTCTGGTATTTCTATTGATAACCCAGAGGATACGTTCCATTCCAGAATTTACCATTAACTTTTATGATTATGCGCATTTTCAATTCCGGATCTGTGCCAAAATAAAAAAAGAAACAATCACACATTAATGAAAACGCCCCAGAGAAATGGAGAATAAATTGCTGTGCTATTATAATGGCGATACATCACTTAGCCTTGGGGCATCAATCATTATGCAATTTTTATGAAGTCAGCCCGCAGCTTTGGTTACTTTCTTTGGAGGTGGTTCATTGAACGAGTTGCGGTTGTGGGCTTGGTTAAAAACGGCCTTTGGGCCTTTGGCTCTAACAGGAGCAGAGTAACTAAACTAAAACTAACTAAATTCGTGTCGCTTTTAATGGAAATGGATATGGATAACCATATACCCCAAGCAGCCTTGGCAGCGACTTTGCTTTTGGTTTGCAGTGGGAACTGGTTTCGGTTGCTTTTGGTTTTTCTTTTGGGTTGGGAAAATCGCTGCGGCACTCGCTTGATGCACTTGTCGACTGGCCCCAGCCTCTTTGCTGCTCTGCTATCAACAAATGTGGCCAATTAGAGATTAAACGACAATTTCAATTTAAAAACGCTTGTAAAATAGACCAGCCGAAAAGCCAACCTGATTTATCAGAGGAGCGGCAGTGGCGGCAATAGACTTGTCAAACTGATCCGATATCAAAAGGGGTCTGGAGAGGCCTATTAGAACTCTCTCATCACTCGGAAAGATTTTAATCTATCATTTAAAAGAGTAATTAGACAAATTAATTTCATAGACTACTATTAATGTGAAAAAAAGAGTGTAAATTAATTTTTTCTTTAGGCAAAAAAGGAAATAATATATTAATATTAATAGAATATTTTTATATACTTACAAAAATTTATAGTTTGAATACTAAAAGGTCTAAGATTTAGAAAGTAGATTTATTTCATTGCTTACAAAAATTGTAATATTTAGAAATGTTTACAAATTAGTTTTTAACTTCTAATATAATTTTCAAATATTTACAAAAGTGCAAATTTAAGAAAATATTTTTAAATTCTGGTTTACGATACTTTGAATTAAGATAAGTTTCTTATAAATACCCAAATCTCTTTGATAAGAATATAACATTGTTCCGGATTTTTTTTAGAAAGACTTTAAAACAAAATGCACATTTTTATAAGTTTCTAACAGCTAACTTTTTCTAGTGATGCTCTTGAAAAGTCACGCTTAATCTCGGGGCTACTGCTTCTTTGAGTGCATGAATGGACCGATAGAACCGATGTTTGTAGAAATCCCCCAAACAAGTTCGCTATCTACGCGCCTGAAGAGCCGAGCCGCGATGAAAAGAGCCATGTGAAAAGCTACTCCGACCGGTGGCTTCAGTCGAGCCATCTGATCGCGGACTTCATTCAGTCTGCAACTCGCGTTTCAGCCGACCAGACGCGTTCGTATATGGTGAATCCGAATCTATGAGCCAAAACTAAGAGCTTTAAATCTGAAAAACAGCCGACAAGTGAAGATCGGGCGGAGTGAATCGCGAGTCAATCAAAGCGAGGCAGCTAATAAAAAGTGCTAATGGTGTGTTTAAAATATGAATAAAGCGAGTAAGCCTGGGCCACAAAAACGGTTACCAATGCCGCAGCCACAACCACAACCACAACGGTTATAACAATAACAAAAAAGAGATTTTCTTTTTTTCGTGGGACGAAGAAATCGCATTTGCATTTCACCGCGGACCCAAGATTAAATTGGATCAAATCGATGGAAGTTTTGGTTTATTTGTTTGTGTGCGCGGGTTTCGTTTCGGCCAAGAGTGCTACTTTCATATAAGAAAAGGGTTACCAGTTACCAGAATCTGGAATAATAAATATCTAAATGCAAATATTGGAAACCCGTTAAGAAGAAACAATAGGAATATTTTTTTTGGGAGAGTCCCCCAGCGGGAGTGGGTAAGTCTATCTATAGATCTTAAGATCTAACTATATGATCGATTTGTAACTGTCACAACAAACGGGTTGTTTAGGCTTAGTATTCAGTTAATTCCTCCAGCCAGTTTTAGAAAAATAAACCATGAAAACGTTTTACTGACGTTTTTCGCTCTGCATGAATCAAAGTTATTAAATAATTAATGGCCAGCGGTGCAAAAAGAAAAACACAGATAGCTCTGCATGTTTGGGGCATTATTTACGGCCTGCTTAGCTAGACGTCCGTATCGCATAGTCCGTCTCTCATTAGGCCAACCATGAAGTTCTGAGGCCCCAGACTCTCGTCAAAATAGCACCAGTCTATCTGTATCTGTATCTCCGAGTCGAACAGCAAGTGGCGTACAGATCATTTAGCCATCGATTTGCATCTCAAAGAAAGCGGTTTTAATTTTTGGCAATTACATAAAGTCTATTCCCTCGGGGGGTTTGTTCCACAAATGATGCGATTTAAATGAGGCAGAAACCGAAACCATTTTCTTGGAAGATATTTATTTTTGGTCTTTGAGTTATTAGAAGGAATGATGAATAGATATATCAATCTCTTCCTAAATTATCAGTTTTTATGGGTCTATCCACACGTATAACCCTCTCAGCCACATTTAGATAGGCCTCGTATTCTATTATATCAGGGGTGGTATCGTAGTGATAGTGACCCCCCCAGTTCTCAAAGGAAAAGGAGTGAAAATGCTGCAGCCTGAGATCCAATCCCATATCCTTGGTCACCAAAGTTCCCACTGCGTTCAGTTGGGCGGGCATTTCGTAGAACTTGAGCCAGTTGTTTATCTGTTCCTGGGTGTGTATAGGTGTCTTGCTGAAATCCCGCATCACATGCTGGTGTACAGAACCCTTCTTTATAACAAAGATGCCTCCCAAACCCACCACCTTATCGCCATAGTGCTTCTCTAATCCCTTTCGTATACAATCCACAAAGTTCTGCTCACCAGTTCGCTGTTTTGCGGTGATCTTGAGTACCTGACCTGGTTTTCCCTCGCTGAGGAAGAGATTTAAGATCAAAGCGCAACGTGGTTCGTCTTGGGGAATCCTCTCCAGAACACACTCCTCATTTTCGCCCCTCACAGTAGCGGTATAACTACCTTGAGCGAGTTTATCTTCTTCATCGAGTGAGAAATTAAAAATCCCCTCGCAGTTTGAATGACGTATAGGCCAAGGACCTGCTCCGGGACCCACAGCAAAGATCTTTCCAGGACCCTGAGCCTTGCGGGTAATCTCCTTTAAGTTGTAGAGCTTATCACGTTGAACCAGGGGCCTCAAATAGGGTGGACCTCCAGCTTCCAGTAGGGTGGCCTTGCCACCTAATCCACTTTCCACCAGACCAAATTGGGAGTCCTTAAGATCCGGACATGCACCCACAGTCACCTCCGCCGTTCGGAAATTCTCACTCAAAGCACCCTGTATAACTAGAGAGCAAGAGAGCTATAAACTATTTTTATCAACTTTTCTGAGTGGTTCTCACCTGTTTGCAGTTCCGAGAGTGAGGGCACATGGAGTGGCTTCTCCTCGAAGAGCAGCTGATCCGTTTGAAGGTGACTCTGGTTCTGGCTCATCTTATCTCTACAAATATTCCGATATGATTTTGGGAACTTTCCCTGCTGGAGGTAAAACAGCGACTGACTGAAATACCATCGTCTGGTAAAAATGTCAACTATTTGAACGGCTGTCATGATAATGGTTCCGCTGATACAGGGTTTCCACTGATATATCATTTTGGTGGTTGTTTTAGAAAATATAGTTTGTGGTTTCACTATTTCAGTTTTTTCTTTGATATGTATTTTGTTTGATTAAAATAAAAATTTAGTTAGGAACCACTAAAAGTAGCACCTATTTTTAGTAAAGCCTGATAATCACATATAATTTTCTTTATAAACCAAAAACATACAACATTTTTATTTTCGAGTTTATGTTTTGTTTATTTACTATTATTTATGAGGGGTTTAAAGTTCGGAAAGGCAATGGAAAAGTCGTCTACAACTAGATACTATAGAAGATAAGATCTAATCCCTTCCCACCTTGTGAGTGGCCACTGGTTTGTCCACTCGAACTACCCTCTCGGCCACATTCAGATACGCCTCGTACTCCACGATATCGGGCGTGGTGTCGTAATGGTAGTGACCTCCCCAGTTCTCGAAGGAGAAGGAGTGGAAGTGCTGCAGGCGAAGGTCAAGGTCGTGCTCCTTGGTCACCAGAGTGCCCACGGCATTCAGCTGGGCGGGCATCTCGTAGAACTTGAGCCACTCGTTCACCTCCTCATCACTATTTATGGGGGTCTTGCTGAAGTCCCGCATCACGTGCTGGTGGGCGGCACCCTTCTTGATCACGAAGATGCCTCCCAGACCCACCACCTTATCGCCATAGTGGTTCTCCAGACCCTTCCTAATGCACTCGATGAAGTTCTGCTCGCCAGTCCTCTGTTTAGCGGTGATCTTGAGCACCTGACCTGGTTTTCCCTGGCTCAGGAAGAGATTGAGTAGCAAAGCGCAACGGGGTTCCGAGTGGGGAATCTTCTCCAGCACGCACTTCTCCTCCTCGCCTCTCACAGTGGCTGTGTAGCTGCCATTGGTCAGCTCATTCTTCTCGCTCACCGAGAGATTGAAGATGCCCTCGCAGTTGGATCCTCGAATGGGCCAGGGACCTGCACCCGCACCCACTGCGAAAATCTTGCCAGGACCCTGGATTTTCCTAGTAATCTCAGCAATGTTGTAGAGCTTATCACGCTGCACTAAAGGCAGCAGGAAGGGAGGACCACCGGCCTCCAGCAGAGTGGGTTTGCCACCCAGTCCACTCTCCACCAGGCTGAACTTCTTTTCCTTGAGATCCGGACAGGGACCCACACTCACATCCACCTGGGCAAAGTTGGCCGTCAAGGCACCCTGTATAACTGAGAGTGGGAAACTTATTAGAGAGCTTTATCTCGACCTCCATCTAGACAACGTAGAGCAAAAGCTAACAGCACTGATAAAAAAAATAACATAGTAATTACATTTTAATATTTAAAATATAACATTTAATACCATTAGGTACAAAAAACATAATAATTCTTACGAATATTTAAACATATTTACTTTTAACATATTATACTTAATTACATTTTAGTCATATTTTCATTAAATAGTTCAAAATTTAATAAAAATTAAATTTCATATCAAAATCAAGGTTTCTAAACCTTTAAATAATTTGTAATAATTTTTAATATTTGATATAAATAAAATTTCTTATAAAAATCAAGGTTTAAAGTCCCAAAATCAACTTGTATTCTTAAATTTAATACTTTCACATAGTAAATAATAAAAATGAAATTTCATATTAAAATCAAGGATTAAAATCCTTAAAATAACTTTAAATTTAATATTATAATATGATTCTTATTATATTTCCTCCATTTTTATCAGTGCAAAAAGCTCTAGGTTCAATCATATGTTTAGTGTTTTGGATTGCTCAATGAAAACAGAGAAAGACCAAACGCAAAACACAAAACATAAAAAACCTAGAACCAACCGAAAAACCGGCTATGGAAAGTTCGGCACCGTTCTTCTGAAGGTCATTTGCTATATGGCACGTATTGTTATCTCTGGGATCTCTGGAAATCTAGAATCCAGAGTCTCTGGGAACTCTGAGAACTCACCTTTCTGCAACTCCGACAATGGGGGCACATACAGTGGCTTCTCCTCGAAGAGCAGTTGCTCTGTGCTCAGTTGGCTCTGGCTCATTTTGGCTGGAGGTACTGTGTGTCCTAGTTACTCTGCTCCTTACTGATAATCTGGCCGCGTTTCTAACGATTCTGGATTCAGGTTCCCCAGTTCCTTTCTCTCGTAAAAAAGTTCTACAACCGCTCGCTAGATCGTTGCAAACACGACTGTCTGTTGAAACCAGATGGGTTCTCGTTTTTTAAAGTTGAGTAGCCGAGCGGCTACCAGTTTGCCCTATAGTTAACATTGCTGGTCGGATCGTACAGGGTGCATTCGCTTGATAAGATAAACTTCTCTTGTGCCGTATTTAGTTTAATTAGAGTGGAGATTTCTTCAGGTTCTCGAGGGGGGTTGAGGTACCATAATAACAATTCGTCAAGTCTCACGCTTAATGCTCATGTCAGGAAGGCACATTTATGATGCGGTTAATTCACTTACAGTAGCCCCTCCACTTAACGACCTTAGTCAACGTAGCCCGACCACTTTTCATTGCTTTCCGAAGAAACTTTTCACTTCGTTGTCGTCACTTTCACTGGAACGAAAAGGTTCTAAAGGGCCCAGACCTTTTAGGGGACCCTAAAATAACTGGTTGCTGCTCCATTTTATGGCTCACATTTACATATTCTTTGTTAAGCTCGCTGGGCACTGGGCACCAAAAAAGTTGTTCTAGAAACTTGCTCCCTAATTTATGCCCAATCAAATAGGTTTTAAGAAAAAACTAATTGGTGACCGATAAAAGAGATTTGTACACAAAAAAAAATATTACAATCGTTTTGGTGAAATTTCTTATCCATCTATCATGAATTTTATATGATTGATAAAATACAAAATGGTAAGAGAAAGAAGTAGCATATTTTCGAGGATATAACTATTTTCATTTGTATAAAAATATTATTCTGAATTGGCATAAGTTCGAGTTACGAATATCGCACAGTAATTTAGGACACCATCTTGATTTTTTCTCTATCCCTAAATCGAAATAGTATTACTAAAGAGAGAGAAATAAATAAAGAATGTTACTTTCCATATAAACTTTATTCAATTGTAATATTATGAATAATTTTTTTCTGTGTACTAAAAATCCCTCTAGAGCACCTTTCACTGTGCCCCACTGATAAGTCCAGCCCTCTTTCGGCCGGTGGCCACTGATAGTGCCCGTGGTTGCTCCAGCGATCGTGTATTGTCATTTAGCGGTCACGTTTGCTACGTCAGTGGGCCGCACCAGATAAGCCAGATAAGGCTATCTGAGGTTTCAATAGAGCTTCTATAGCTGGAATATAGTTCATTTCGGGTGTTTCGCGGGTCAAGCCGCAAGTGCTGGGCGTACAAATCGCAGCAAGGGCGCTAATTTGATGTATTGCCCCTCAGCCGACGACTAATGAGCCTCCGATTGTCTGGCCTGGATTTAATTTAGCTTGATAGATATCGTGTGCCATTAGATGTGCCACAAAATGACAGCCTCCACGCCTCGCAGAGAGGAGCTGTCGAGGATCACGTCCAAACTGGTCCATGCAATCCATCATTTCGCCAATGGGATGTATAGTTTATCATAATTACAAGCAGACGCTTGGCCATCTACAGGCATTTGTTCTAGCGTTCTGGTGTGGTGACCCCAATACCAAAGTTAAGAACTCGTCGGTGACCCAATTCCGCGATGGCCACTTCACTTTTTTCTGCAAAGCCGCCGATCCAAACTGGTTGGGAGAATTGTGTCACTACTGATACTCGTCGTTGCAGCCAAGCAGACTTCCCACTAACATATGTTGTCCATGTCCCTGTCACATTAGGCAATGTTTGACGATCGTCGATCCGCAACTTTGTAGGATTGTAACATGGGCAATCGCAACAGCAGGGGCGTGGATTTGGCCGCCTTGGAGGGAGCATCTGGAGGGGAGGGAACCTCCAGGTTCAACACCCGGCGAAGATATCAGCAGCACAAGAGGGAGTATTGTCTACAGAACGAGTACCGCTCGAAGACCCTGCCCGCCCGCCATCCGCAGCAAAATGATCCCCCGCAGCAGAAGAACCAAGGAAACCAGGAGCGTTTGGGCTCGAGCAGTTGTTTGGGTGGCGGACAGAATGCATCGAGCAATAATGCAACACCGCACAATCCAAACGGAGAGACGTCGAGGGTTCTGTTTCTGCTCTACTTGATTCACCGCACCTGGAACGTGGTCATGGACACAATGGACTCACGCACCAAGAGGTAAGACGAAAGATTTTGTTCGATCTAGAAAAATTATGGCGCTATGACACTATAGTGTCATATATATTCATATATGAAAAATATTATATTTTTGATAAAACTAATCAATAATATTAGATCTACTTCATTTCACAATGCACTAATCGAAATAAAGGCTAATTTTTAGGCTATTATAGAATAAAATAAAAGTAAAATTCAATGGCCTAAAATTCGGATGTCTGAATTAATTGGAATAAAATAAAAATTAATAAAAATAATAACATAAAATATTGTTCAATTTTCTTTCCATAAAATAAATATCTAATGGCCTAAAATTCAGAGTCTGAATAAATAAATTAAATTAAACAAAATATTGTTCAATTAATTTTCTTTAAAATAAATATCTACTGTAAATAAAGATATTTGTACCACATTCCCAACATCAAAAAACCAGTTATTTGTCCGAATTTCAGGCCAGTGTCATAACGCCCGAAGCAAGTGTCATAACACCCATACTAATTTTTGGAATTCTTAAAACAGTCGCTCGCAACGCGGGGACTCCCCCCAAAAAGAGGCACCCGCGGATGTAAATGTGGATATTGAACTGCAGCCGACCATCCAACGACCTCTCGACGAAGAGTGCTCTATTGGCATCACCGACTTGGATGCCTCCTCGTTCTGCTCCCAGTACTCCTGTTGCAGCTGCAGCTACTGCGATGTGGGGACCACGGGGACACAGACAAATGTCTACAGCTCCATTGGCGACGACTATTCCCTGGATTCCATGTACGAAGCGGGAAAGTCGATAGTTGACAGGTGAGCAGAACTGAATACTTTTTAATATTAAGTATACGCCATAGCAGACAGCTTTTGTGCGCTGTGGATACATTGCATACTTTCAGGCTTTAGTAAAATCAAAGCTTATGGAAAATGTTGCCTGTATTAAGGCTGAGATTTTATTGGTCTTATTGGAACCTAAGCAACTAAGTTTACAGGCTTGGTTCAATGAACATTGTTCATATTATTACTTAACCAAAAAAAAAGTTAGAACATTTTAAAAAATCAAAAATTTATTTTTAATTTAAATCTGTGACCATCCTGGAAAATGTGGTACAAATATATGAATCTCAGATTTTACTCGTCGTTTATGACTTCAAGTAATTAACTTTTCAGGATATTTTCGTACAGTTATTTATTTCAAAAATGGTATGAACTTTACAAGTTTAAATAATTACCATCAATTAAAATTTATGTCTTTCCTGGATATTTTGAAGCAAAATTTGAATATGAACTCAGCTCAACTTATAAAATAGAATAGTAATAAAGGAAGATATCCTTGTCATAATATACGTATAATAACACAGATCTGTAAAGCAACCTGTAAAAAAAATGGTGGGGGATCCCACTTACTTAAGATGGCCGATACTGATATGTCTTGAGTATTCCATGACTGTCTTTATTTAATATGACTCGATCTAATCTATTATAATCGTCATAACGCCATTTGATCATTCATATAAACAATTTTTTTCGGGAGTGAAAGCTTGCACATAGAACCTTTAAGCAGCTGCTGCAAATTTTCCATGCTTCCACTTAATTAAAATTATCGATCGCTGCGCAAAAATGGAGTTCGTATCAGTAAGCGTGTATCGCCTGATAACCCTCTATCAGCAGAAGATTTGGCTATAAAAACACAAAGCCTTCTCTGTTTGGACATCAGTTTTCGAGAATTGTCAACATGAAGGCTTTCTTCGTTTTGGTTGCTCTGGCTTGTGCCGCCCCAGCTTTCGGTCGCACCATGGACCGTTGCTCCCTGGCCAGGGAGATGTCCAACCTGGGCGTTCCCCGCGATCAGCTGAACAAGTGGGCCTGCATTGCCGAGCACGAGAGCTCCTACCGCACTGGAGTCGTGGGTCCCGAGAACTACAACGGATCCAACGACTACGGCATCTTCCAGATCAACGACTACTACTGGTGCTCCCCTCCCAGCGGTCGCTTCTCCTACAACGAGTGTGGCCTGAGCTGCAATGCCCTGTTGACCGACGACATCACCCACTCCGTCCGTTGCGCCCAGAAGGTCCTCAGCCAGCAGGGATGGTCCGCCTGGTCCACCTGGCACTACTGCAGCGGATGGTTGCCGTCCATCGATGACTGCTTCTAAGCCGATTTTGATTTTGAATAAAATGATTGCATAAAATAGCATGTCCTTGTTCTTTACCCATTAGAAATTATTTAACAGGAATCAATCCAAAAGGGACAAAAATTCAATGATTTAAATTTAAAAGGTCTTAAAGCACTGGAAAGCCGTATTATAGTCCAAATAATACTCAGGGAGAATTTATCAAATTAAATGTACTCTGTTTTAGTATTACATTTCAAAAACCAAAAAGAAGTCTTGGAGCATATTTGCGATTTCATTCAACATACTCTTTTAAAAATGAGTTCTAAGAAACTATCTTATATAAATGTTTCCGATAACTCAAAAATAATAACAATAATATTCGATACAGAATTTAAAAAAATTATAATCAAATTAAAATAAGTAGTTTCTAATATCTTTTCCACTTTTTGTTTTAAATATTCATATTAAACGGACGTCGTTTAACTGTGAAACTAAAATTTTGCAAGAATTTATTTAAAACTCTTGAAATATGTCAGCTTAATATTTTTTCTACTGCCCCTACAAAATGCTTCTTCTAAACTTTAATTTCGATTTCTTGGTAAACACACTTCTACTGGCTAAATTGGGTTCAATTCTAATGGGGCCTGGTTTTGCACATTCTTCTCGCTAATCACAGTTTGTGGTCGTGCTCCAAGAATCGAATCGAAGATTCCCTCAGGCGCCTGACAGTCTTCGTTAATTTGGAGGTGTGCAGTTGCTACCGTTGTTCATTTGCTCATAACGCTGGGGGTCTTATAAAGAGGGTCTTATACAACCAGCCGAGAGAGGGAAAACTAACTCGCGATCTCTTCTTTTCTACCGACGGCCACTTCGGTTTTTAAACTCGTCTTTGGGTTCAGGCCAAGTTTTCAACTTCGGATCAGTTGGTGCGTGACTTTAGTTCGAGGCGGACGTGTAAATCGCAAAGAGGCGATTGCAAATCTCGGTTTAGGCTACCAATTAGACGAACGATGTCTTAGCTAGATGATATTCGAAAAAGTCTAGCCAAGTTCAATCGACAGATCGATCATTCGAAAGCCACCAAAAGTGGGTTGTCTTAACCTCTTCTCTAAACGGTAGTGAACTCCCCATTTCAAACACCTCTTGAACATCAAGTGTCACTGACGATTACGCGATATGAATTTTCCTATTGTGTATTCTCGGAAGAAACGAGTTTGATTGGTTAGAAAAGTGCGGTATTGGCAACCGGGCCCCCTTTTAAACGTAACATAGCCCCCCTCTTTCGATTCTTCTTGGGCTCTAACAGCATCGCGAGTGGAGTGTGTGCATTCTGCGGCTAACGGTAAAACGAGTACTGGACCCGGCTAGAACTGGCCCCAACTGGCCTATTGCAGCATCTATCCACCATAATAATAAGAGTGGTTCTTGGTTCTTGGAGTTCTTGGAGTGGAGAGCTTCGTGCTAATCTCCTCATCTCCTCAATTTATATGCCTCGCGTTCGATGACGACGCAAAGTGCAGTGGATGTTAGCCATCATCATCATCATCATCATCATCGTCTTGGTCTTCGTAGAATTTGAGAACGTTCTGCAGTGAGTGGCCCAATTCGGAATCGGGTCAATAAGCTGTATCTGGTCTGGATTTTCGGAGCCTGAACTGGAAGCCCGGCTTCTCCAGAGAGGATAGTCCATAGGCTAAATAGGTAAGCCAGTTTGCAGTAGTTTAGAGAGTTTCTTTAACTAAGTTAGAGGGTCAGGAAGATCTGGATGGTATATGCCTCTGATTTTGTATGCTAATGGCTACCCGACTTTCTTTCTTTCTTAGCTGACTGCCCAAAATCTAGATATGTAAATCCCCGTGTGGGCACCACTGACATTGAACTGTGACGCCCACACACAAAAAAACCCAAGTTAGAAAGAAACTCTCGAGAATACCAAGTCATAAAAAAATCTTAGAGGTGCGTGTGCGTTTTTAAGAGTATGAAAACAAATTACGTTTAACTGTAAGTCATGGAAAATTGAAGTGAAAATTGAATTGGCAGCGGCACGAGACCTCAAAGTCTTCAAAGTCTCGAATCTCGGGGAGCAGCCCCAATCCCCAGTAACAATGCCACTTTGTCCGTTTGCCGACGAAGACAAAGAAGAGGCCAACAAAAGAAACCAGCTTGTAAATAAATAAATAACAGTCGTGGCAGAGACCCAAAAATCAGGCTGAAAAATGAAAAAGCGAGTGTAGAAAAATCTGTTCCGGTCTGATTTAACAATTGTTAAACAGCTTATGCATTGGCCACGGTCTGCAGGTCCGACGACCGAAGGGAGGAGTAGGTGCTATCGAACACACACGCTACCCAGCGAATGGCCAACTTACTTTCAGCCTTAACCAAAAAAAAGAAAAAATAAAAGAAAAAGAAAACAGAAATTTCTTTCTTCACGCGATCTTCAGACATTCTTTTGCGGCACCTCCTTTTCCTCGAAGATTGGGCTTCCTTCTTTTGGAAACCGCTTTAAAGCCACATTAGCCAGGCCATCAACAGATGTTGGACACCTTGACGGGCCCTGACAAATGAAGCAATTGTTCGAGATGCGATTGGGTAACCGCACTTCGGAGTGGGGCAATAATAGTTGCGGGCCTTTTGCTTGGACCCCAGCTAATTGAAGCCAAAGGGGTAGACAAAGACCATAATTGAGATCAGGGGCCAATTGGCCAGGCAAACAGACCCAGTCCCAGTCCTCCATATCAGCAAAGCTGCTTCCACCAATTTGCATCCATTCAGAGAGCAGGTTCCCCTGAACACCTTCCACCTGACGTCAAATGCCTAAACGGCAAAGGGGATTCACCAGCGAATTTCCGTAATACTTCATTCATATTATCGAATACTCCAGGCGGTACTATCAATATGGTCTGATTTCTGATTTCCAAGCGATCACTTTCAACACGTCCAGATTAGTCGTAAAAATACTCCACAGATAACCGCCCGAAAGATAATTTTCCGGCTATAAAAGCGCAGGGTTTTTGGGATCCCACATCAGTTTCAAACATGAAGGCTTTCATCGTTCTGGTTGCTTTGGCTTGTGCCGCCCCAGCTTTCGGTCGCACCATGGACCGCTGCTCCCTGGCCAGGGAGATGTCCAACCTGGGCGTCCCTCGTGACCAGCTCAACAAGTGGGCCTGCATTGCCGAGCACGAGAGCTCCTACCGCACCGGAGTGGTGGGTCCCGAGAACTACAACGGATCCAACGACTACGGCATCTTCCAGATCAACGACTACTACTGGTGCTCTCCCCCCAGCGGTCGCTTCTCCTACAACGAGTGTGGCCTGAGCTGCAATGCCCTGTTGACCGACGACATCACCCACTCCGTCCGTTGCGCCCAGAAGGTCCTCAGCCAGCAGGGATGGTCCGCCTGGTCCACCTGGCACTACTGCAGCGGATGGTTGCCGTCCATCGATGACTGCTTCTAAACCGATTTTGATACGAAATAAAATGATTGCATAAAACTCTTTGGTTTTTTACCCTTTTGGAACTCGTATATTCTCAGAAAACTTTGTAAAGTTACTCTGAAACCTAAAAAAGACTCCACCCAATCCAAGAAAAATCAAATATCACCATGTTTCTATCCCCTTGTCACAGGACTTCTTATTGCCTGCTCTAAAAAAACCTAAAAAAAGACTCTACCCCATTCAAGAAAAACCTAAT